GCTTATCTACATGAAGGCAATACACACATACACATGAAATAAAAATAATAAATAAAATATGAAAAAAAAATCCTTGGAACTTGAGACAGTATTGAATGATCTAACAAAACTAACAAGAAAGGAAAGCCATCCCATTTGATGCTAACATTCTTGTCAAAGGGGAATACTGGCTAGAGATGACAGTGACAGGCAGGCTGACGTGGTCCTGCAGGAGAAGGGTGATGACTAACCTCCTCCGGCCCTCGCTCACAAGCCTACTCACTTTCCTCTGTTTCAGTCACAGTTCCTCTATGCTGGAGCCAATTCTCCTTAAGACTGAATTGGTGGAAAAGGGCTTTATTCTGTGAAAAGGGAGAAAAGAGAACAATGAATGAATGGATCCCTGCCCTTTGGAAAGTCACAGCTGTTTACAACATGTTCCAAAAGAACTAGCCAATTGTAATTAAAATACGAAATCCATGCATCCAATCTTAGAGAAATAAAAAGGGAGTTGCTGCAATTAACAAACATGGAGGTGGAGATTCTGAGCTTTCTGATGGACCTTGGCTAAAGCCAGTAGCAGGCAAACAGCCCCTGGGATTATTCCTTTGGAGTTGCTAGATTCGCTTTCACCTTTGGCTACCAGAAACATTCCTAGATTCTCTGGAAAGACAATTTCCCTATCCCAACATGAACTTCCAAAACACAGTTATGACAGCAACAGCAACTTTGTGAAATCATTTTGCACTTGCTGCAGTCCAATGATTTTCTTAAAGGCAATCACTAGTCACTATGGTTAAATACCTTCCATGAAACTTCTGCCCAATGTCCCCTCCTGCATGTGCCCTCAAGCTCAATGAAAGTGTACTGTGTTTGCTACCAGCACTCTTTTTCAAATCGAAAGCACAGGGTTCCTTAGTCTTGGAGTAAGGAAAAACTCTTCAGTCAAGATTCTTACTTAGACTTTGGGAGAGGGGCATGAACATTTTAAAATTCAAATTTTTATCAGTCTGGAGAAAGCAGGGAAGCTCTGAGACTCTAAAATGCACCACAAAACATGCACATTGCCAAAGAGTATGAAGACAGAAAGGTAGGAAAGCACAGGCCAGCTGCAGCCCTGGACTTTCCCCCCTCCCCAGTTAGGCTTGAGGCAGTATTCACTTTAATTAGAAAGAAATGTCAAGTAGGCACCTACACCAGATCACACCCCTGCAGATATAAAAGCCTACCTTCTTCTGTGGTGAATATTCATCTACGGTGCTGCAAAGAAAAAAGAAAGAAGTGAAACGCTGCCGCAAATTCAGAAAGCAGTTACGTCATGGAAGACTCATTTTCAGGAACTGTGTAGAGAATTTTGTTTTTAGAAAAGATAAGACAGGGCCAGTAAAATGGCTCAGGTAAAGGCACTACCTGCCAAGCCTGACAACCTGACTTTGGTCCCTAGGATCTTCAGAGTGGAAGGAGAGAACTGATTCCTGCAAGATGTTCTCCAACTTTCACATGTATGCTATGGTATATGTATGTTGTGGCACATGCATACACCTACCCTCAAGTAAATAAATACAATAAAAAATTTAAAAATAAAACAAAGTTGGCATAATGGTACATGTCTATAATTTCTGCACTCAAGATGTTAAGGCAGAAAGACTGCAAATTGGTGGTCTGCCTGGACTATTCAGTGAATTCCAGGCTAGCCTGGATGATTGAGTGAGACCTTGTCTCAAAAACAAAACAAAATAAAGCATGGTATTCATTGACTTACCATGAGCAACATAACTGACACTCTAAGTTCCAAATGAATCAGGAAAAAAAAAGTGCTTATCAGACAGGACAGGTGTATTATGCTTTCTTTCTTTTTTTTTTGTCTTTTTGAGACAGGGTTTCTTTGTAGCCCCAGCTGTCCTGGAACTTGCTATGTAGACCAGGCTGGCCTTGAACTCACAAAAATCCACCTGCCTCTGCCTCCCAAGTGCTGGGATTAAAGGCACACACCACCACGCCCGGCTATGCTTTCTTTCTTTCTTTTTTTTTTTTTAAAAAAAAACATTTATTTAAAATTTTTTTATATATGAGTGTTTGCCTGCATGTCTGGTGCCTGCAGAGGTCAGAAGAGGGTGTTAGATTCCTGGAACTGGAGTTATAGATGGTTGTGAACCGATATGAACCTGGGTCCTCTGTAGGAGCAGCAAATGCTCTTAATACCTGAGCCATCTCTCCAGCCCCAGAATTGTGTTTTTTACCAACAGAAAGTAAAGCCAAGAATTGAAAGGGAAACTGGATTTGTTCAGCCTGTATAAATACAGTCCACATAAAAATAAGCTGTTCTCTCTTTCCCTCCCCAGCCCTTTTTGTACAGCAATATTGACTAACAAGAAACACTTTCTCATGTAGTGATAGATTTTAGGTGAAAGTATTTTCTAGATAGGTGAGTAATTCACATCTTCTCCGGGACACTTCTGTGTGACAGAATGGGGAGCATTCTATAGTTCTACAGGAGCCTCTTCCTCATTACTCATCTCATCACAAAGTGCCTCTGAAGACCACTTCCATTCAGGAAGAAAACAGCACTTGGCTGTTTCACACACCATCAGGCTAACTGCTAATTATAGGTATCCATCTTAGTCTTAAAAAGTGATACATTATCTCTCTGTTCATTGGGGGAAATGCAATGTAACATTTGGGGCTCAAATCTCATTCTAAACTGTAAAGAAATTTCATAACCTTATACCAAAGAAGCAAGAATCTCCCTTTGCCTGCCCTGTATGTGAGTGTGTGGTACTAGGGATAAACCCACAGCCTCGAGCATGCTACCACTGAGCCACACCCCCATCCTAATTATATCTTACCATAACTTTATTCTAATCTGTTATTTTCCACTATAATGTAAGTTTGAATGGAATGTATGAAATTCCAGTGATTTGTTAGCATATTTAAGTGTACTAAACCACGCCCTGAGGCTTCTCAACTGCAGCAGGTCTGCCTTACAGTACAATATATATTTCCATGGGCGAGATTACTCTGTTCTAAAGGTTATGTTTCTTTTTTCTTCTTTTTGTTTCATTTACTCGTTTACAATGTTCACATTAATATCAGGCTATTCATACTTAATATGGTTTACAATGTTAGTTTCTAAACACTGTCCTAACTTGCATCTGATTTTTAAATTTCTAAAAGTGCAACTTTGACAAATGAGAACTAAGGCTTATATATAGTTTGCTTTTGCCTTAAGATTAATTTATATACATCTTTCATCTTTCATTTGTAATGGGGACCTATTTACTAAAGTTAAATAGGGCTCTAAATCTCAGATCAGTATTCTTAAAGATCTGAACTTGCTTTTTTTTGGTCTTTAGGAGACAGGGCTGGGTCTTCCTATAGACCCAACTGTCCTGGAACTTGCTTTGTAGACCAGGCTGGACTTGAACTCACAAAGATCTGCCTGCCTCTGCCCAAGTGCTGGGATTGAAGGCGTGTGCCATCATGCCCCGTCTGAACTTGGATTTTTTAAAGTAGTGTACTTACAGCTGCTGCAATCATGAAAGCTTCTCCAATAAGAATAAGCAAGTATATTCTAAATTGGATAAACTCAGCAAACACTGCCTGGAAACTGAATAATGACTTGATGTTTTCATTTGCCAAAATTAATAGAGAAGTAAGATCTAGTAAAGTCAGGTGCTGCCAACCTGAAAGATTTCTGAGTGCTATTCATGGGACACTTGCACATGCCAACAGTTATTGAGTAAATGGCTTTGTCCAATCTTTCTACATTGATAAAGAACCTCAAGAGTCTTGTAAAATAGAGCTTTCGAAATGGTTGGTGGTGACTCACTTGAACCTATTCATAAAACTTTTCTTCCCTATTCCACAGAGATAGCACTGAACGCTCAAATGATAAGCTAAATATGTGATTTAAAATTAAGCCATCATTTATTAAGCAACTTTATATACACTCAAGTTGCTATGGCCCAGTCTGCTTTTATCATGGAAAACTGTATAATTACATTCAATGAGCTTGATTAGTGTTCTTTCATTTTGAACTATTAAAAAAAAATAGTCCACTTAGTACTAGAAATGCTAAGCAATCAAGATGAATCCCAGGGTCAAGATGTTCAAAATCAATTTTATGCACATGACAACCCAAGATCTTACTTTTGCTGTACATCTACTAACTGCTATGAGAGAAATAAAATACTTACTGACGACGATGCATTCCAAGTATCTTTTGAAATTCTTTCAATTCTTTTTCAAGTATTGGATATTCATAGACATCATCCAGTACATTCCTGTATATGGTCTGGGGAGACAGATGGCAGCTTTAACAAGTTAGTGTCCATTTTGTAAGGATTAATACTAAGATTAAGCTGGCAGTATCGTTCAGTGGTAGAACACATGCTTAGCATGTATAAAGCCCTGAGGTCAATCCTAGCAACACCACCAAGAAAAATAACTCAGGCAATGATTATCTTGTTCCAAGAAATATGGCAGAATTCGAGATTAGGTAGAATTTCATCTTAGCCACTCAGCTACCTGTCATCTCTCTCAAAATGTTTTTAAGGGCTATACGTAGGGAATGTTGGAAACAGAGACCTCTTAGCTGTCTATTCAAGATTTCCATGCCTACTCTAGATCTTAAAATACAAAACTTGCCTGATTACTTTGAAGGAAGATATATCTAGATTAACCACTGGTTTTGAAAAATAACATGAATTTAGACACAGAAATGGTTAGATCAACTTTTAACTGGATATCTAAGAGCTATTTGAATATTAAGTTCAAAATTATTTCCTTCATGAAAGGCAGAATCAATTCATGTCTTTATCTTTTCCAGAATAGACCTCTTCTTGCTAAAATTCCATACTGCCTCTTCTTTGTGCTGACACATGCCCAATACAATGGCCAAAGAAATCAAACTGTCTGTTCCAGAGAACTGTCTATATTAAATATATTGAAACCTATTAATGTTTAGAAAAATCAGTTTAGTATCTTCCACAGACTATTATTTTTCTCAAAATGTATTCTCAAATATAATTCACAAATATATCATGTATTAAAAAGCTATATAATGACATAATATACACATGATTAATATGACTTTTAAGTGACAATGTTTTATCTAAGTATTTTATGTATATATAGGCTTGGTTTGTTTAATATTTTCATAAATGCAACATTAAATAGCATTAAATCTGAAAGATAATTTGGTTAACCCTCCTAAATTTTTTTCATTTGCAGTAGAAATTCTGATGCTTTACGCAAATAAATCACCTTAAGTTAGCACATACAAAAATTTCCTTACTGTTTTTTAATAATGTATTTTAAATTTTTTAAAGAATTTTTCAAAGAAGAATGTCAGGTCTCAGAATTCAAAATTAATTTATACTTTCACTGAATTTAGCATAAAAAAACTGAATGACTACAAATGAGATTTTTGAAGCACGCTGCTGAAAATAATCACCTGGCATCAAGAAACACCCGAAAGCAATAGCATACCTTTAAAAACATTTTTGAATGCTCATCTTCATGCAGCCAGTCTTTGTAGAGAGCTATCCACTGGGAAACAAGATGTAGGACCTTACGCTTCCGACAAGGAACATCTGAGTTTTCTTCTTTGCCTTGATACTTCTTCGCAGAATAGGTGCAAATGGTTAAGAGAGAACATTGCGTTGTTGAAACACAAAATATGAAAAGATCCATTTGTTCTCGTTTTTACAAAGTAGGCCAAAGCATATTTTCCAAAGAATCTACAACTGTATAAAGGTACAAGAACAGATCACACGTGGGGAGAGCAGAAGGTGTGCATTGAAAAGAAGAAAAGCAAACCATCAACTGACTGAAGCATCCTCAGTGGGAGGCTGTGCAGTTACGGGCTGGACCATCACACAGACAGCTACTGACACAGTCCCACAGGCAGCATGGGATAATGTCAGGTCAAAGAGATACGGGGTGGTCCATTGATTTCAAGGGTGGCTTCCAGATAAGATCCCACCTCACTATAGATGAATAGGTGAATACTCTTTCAATAGAAGCCAGGTAATCTTTGATTCTCTGAAATTCATATTTTGTAAAACCAGTTACTTCTAAAATTGTTTCAAATGAGCACAGATTTCTAGAGCATAATTTATGACATGAGTCAAAGGCCCATTCCTAGAACTTATTATAAAAAACTTGGATAAAGTGTGCAAACATAGTAGGAAGGACTGCTAAATTTCACTTTCATTAAACATAAATTTAAAACATAAAACAGGAAAAAATCTGAGCACTTGAAAAATAAATCAGTTAAATCAATGATTAGATATTTATTAAATAAATAATTCTGCAGCCATAAAAATGAAGGCCTAGGAAGAAGTACATATACTGAAATAAAAACATTCACAATCTATTGTTCAGTACAAAAATAAGCAAGGAAAGAACACAGCAGCATGACCCACATATTAAAAATGTTTATAAGAATATTTTCATTATCTGGAAAGGTACAAGATGATTAACAGTGGCTTTTCCTTTATTTAAAAAAATTATTTTATGTGTGTGTTTTGTCTGCATGTATGTAAGTACACCCATGCCATGCAATACCCATGGAGGCCAGAAAAGGGTATCGGATCCCCTGGAACTGGAGTTATGGATGGTTGTTAGCTGCTATGTGGGTGCTGGAAACTGAACCCAGGTCCTCTGCAAGAGCAGCAAGTGTTCTTATCAGCTGAGCCATCTCTCCAGCTCCAACAGTGGCTTTTTAATGTAGTGATTTGAGAGTATATGGATAATTTTAGTTATGACTATTTCCTAATTTGTATATAATGACCATGTGCTAATTATGCTATTAAAATTATATAAAACATCAAATAAAGTGCTTATATGACTAGGAGTGAGAGAAGAGCTTGGCATTTTCTAAACTCATTTATTCTTTTTCTCTCAAAATAATGATCTGTCTTCTGTTTTTTTGAGACCAGGTCTTATGTTGCACAGCCTGGCCTTGAACCTTTCATCCTCTAGTCTTTACCTTTCAAGCTCTAGAATTACAGGTGTGTGCCACCACTATAGGTCCCTGAACTATCTTGAATATACTGAAGAGTTAACTAGGAATAGAAAATAAGTTTGGAGAGTGTTCATCAGGATTCTACAACCCTTAATATTGATTGCAAAACAGGAATGAATTCTACATCAGACTTTGTAAATAAGTTAAAATATAATTTAATCACTTTCTTCCAAACCTTCAAAAGTATACTGTGGCCATCGTTAAAGTCTACCTGTGAAATAAAATCAGTCAAACAAACAATTAATGTACCTATTTCTTTCATTTTTCTCTTGAAAGGCAAATTATAAAGATTTATTCTGCTATTTCAATTCACACAATTGCTCTTTTCTTTTCCACCCTGGCTTCACTAATGTAAAAATCTAGAAAACTAAGGAATGCCAACAACTTTATTTACTTTTTAGGTCAGCACATGTAAGTGAAGGTCTGAATTTCTTACTCAAATATCACAGTCGGGTCTCACAATAAAGAGCAGCAGAATAAAGCAATCCCAGGGGCTGAGAGGTGAGTGGTTCTTTCCCATTTATAGTTATTAATATTCATCTTTATTCTTTCCTCCCTGCAATATGTGTATTTTGAAACATTTACTGATTAAATTTGCATTTGTGTTCTCCCCCGTTCCTATATCAGGGTATGGGTTCTTTTACATTTTGGCAACACTTAATCACACTGATTTATAAATTTAGTTGGGGAGGACATCAGGTGAGCTACAGTTGCTTTTAATATACTGAATATTAACTGGCCCAGGGCTATGAGTTTAAATGATGTGCTTTACTATAATAAAAGCTGGACGCCATTCAATCCCATTACAATAAAAAAAAAAAAATCCATCTAAAGTATCCAAGCCCAGCAAAATGGCTCTAATCTACCAATGTTTAAAAATCATGGGGAAAAAACAAAATAATCCGGATCACTCCATAGTCTTGGGGTATGGTGGGTATCTTCATGAAGGCAGGCATGAAACTGTTGGCAGTAAATATGGATGTCATAGATTTGTTTATAGTTTGTATGACCACACAGAAGGCAGAGCGTGCAAGAAACAAAATAGCCATACAGAAAGACTTGTCGTTTAAAATGTTTTGGATTTCATGACTTTAATAATAGAAAGGCTGCAAAAATCTGAACTACATTTTCATATAAAGTGTCTTAGTCAAAGACATTCATATTTAAGGAAACTTACAAATTCTTCAGGAACATTTTCAGATTATTAAGTGGCAATCAGATTATTAAATGGTAATCAAAAATAATATTAGGATCACAGTTGAAGACAATAGTTTAAAGGCATCTAATTGGCTATAAAACCTAATTTTTAGTAGTTGATGGTAATTGCTTTAGAGTAGGTAAGCATTAAAACGTAGATGAAATTAGCTCATAGGTATTCTTTTCCAAAATACTTCTAAAGGAAAAATTTTAAATCTTATAATTATTGCAGAATTTCTTAGCAGTACTCCACTTGGAAACTGTGAGAAAAATATGTGTATTATTGAAATTTTCCAAATTCAAGCTGATGTTTTAAGATCAGTTTTCTGAATCAGTTTTAGAAACTCTCAAAATAGCTATAGCTTTACTTAGTCAGAGGATCTGGTAAAGCACTGAAACTAATCACCATTTCTAGTTCATATACACATGTGTAAAAAGAAGTAAATATGTATACACACATTTTTGTGTGTACGTGTGTGCATGCATGTGTTCGAGTATGCCTGTGAATGAGTGTGCAGGTTCATGTTTGTGTGCCTGGAGGTAGAGGTCAGATGTCAATCTTGAATGTTGTTCCTCAGGTGCCAACAACCTTTTTGTTTTGAACAGGGTCTCTCCCAGGCCTGGAACTCACCAAATAGGCTAGACTCTCTGGCCAGTGAGTTCTACAGATCTGCCTGTCTCCTCCTCTTCTAGTTCTGAGATTGCAAGTTTGCATCACCATGTTTGGTTTCTACATGGGTTCTAGGGACTGAACTTAGGTCCACGTGGCTGCATGGCAAGCCCTTTACTGACTGAGGTATCTCCTAGACCTACCCTTTTTCTTTTGAGACAGGGTCTCAAGACCCAAACTGATCTTGAACTCACAGTGATCTTCCTGTCTCAGTCTTGTGAATACTGGGATTACAGACATGTGTCACCAATCTGACTTAGTCATATATTTTTAATAGATAATTTGTTTTATGTACTTTAGTGGAATTTTAAGTATCTTTTAGGCAGGAAAATGCTGTACAGTTGAAAGACAATTATTTAACAGGAAAAGAATCCTTTTGTTGTTGTTTTTCAAGATCAGGTCTCCCTGTGGCTTGGAACTTGCTATGTAGCTATGTAGACCAGGCTAGCCTCAATCTCATGAGATTCACCTGCCTCTGCCTCTGCCTCTTGAATGCTGGCATTCACCATGCCTGGCAGGAAAAGAACATCAAATGGCCATTTTCATTAGGTCTTAATAAGACTTTGGTATATAAAAAAAGTAATTCATTTTCTTAAACATTTTATGTGGATTAGAATGGAATCCCTAGTTTGGTTTAATAACAACCTCATTTATATTAAATACTTAAAAGGCTTTAATTAACTTAATTACTATTAACAATAAAAATAGTTTAATCAAATTAATTTGTTAGATACTTAAATGTTTTGGAAACATCTTCAAGTATGGGGAGGCAAGAAGCACAGGCGGAGACTTCCAGTAAGTTCACATGGCCTTATGATCTTTCAATGTAGCACCTCTTTTGGTTAGTGAATGAAATTTTAAGGCTTTCTTAACTGGCCATTAACCTTCTAATCTGATTGATCATTTTAGGAAAGCATGCAGAAAAAATGTTCTGAAAAGATGACAATCACATCCAAGGGTGAGATTAGACCTTCTACATGGGGCAACAGCTTGGGTGCCAGGAACATTTGGCCAGGAACATGACATCTCACATGTGTGCATATGTATACACACACACACACACACACACACACACATTTTTCTGCACAAGTGGTTTCACTTTACATGACTGGTCCTCCTATAAGAATACTTATTGGATGTTATTGCCAATCCACTTAACCTGGTCACTCAGGTTTACCAGGAGGCAAATTTTACCTCCAGTTTTGTAAACAATTATGAGAAACAGACATAAAGCAAACATGATATAAACAGTACACTTCCCCATAGCACAGAATGTGAAAACAGCAGCCCTGTATTTCCTGTTGCCCCTGTCTACTCTGTCTTATTTCATCTTCACCTTGGATACCATTACATTAATATTTAACATATCTACACTCCACTGGGGGTTGAGTAAACGAAGAAAGGCAGTTAATTCCTAATGTGGGACATCTGTCTGAAAGGAAGCTGGCACGGCATCCTGAAGTTAATGAAGGATATTGTCTTAACAGCGCCTGGCACAAGTCATCAGTTGTCATGAAGACAGTATACGTGAGAAGAAAGTCATCAAGGAGAGTCTCTGCGAAGAAAGAAAACAAATACAATGTGAGCAAAGGAAGGACAAGGAGGCCCAATGGGGCGGGGTGTGTGTGTGCTTAAGAATAAAATTCTACTCACAAAATGCACTGTGTATTAAAGATAAGATTTGAAAAAATTATTGTATGAGAATGCCTCAAACACTGAGATACTTTTATCTTGTGAAGTTTTCAACATAAAATTCCTATCTCATTCCCTTCATTAAAGCATCACATATTTCAGAATAGAGGTGTTATGAAAAAACTTGATAAGTAATAATGAAAACATAAATAATATGTTTTTAAAAATTAATTTCCTAAGACTTCTGAGGTATATACTCCAGTTGTACAGGGAATGAAGTCCTCATATTCTAATAAATTAAGACTTTCCCAAGTCATTTGCTTTCTTCTAGGGCAAGAGCAAGACAATAAAACCCACAAGACAAACACCAGGTTGCAAGCCTGTTCACCTCTATCTTTCAAATGCAACTGTAAGAAGATGGTGCGAAGAGTTCAGCTCAATGCCAGGAAGAGGCTTGCCTAGCACTTGTTTGTATCAACACCACAAAAGGAAGTTGGGAAAATGATGCAGAATTTTCTTACCATGGTGAAGAGAGAATGACCTGAGTCCCGTTAAAAGTGGGGAGTAGTTTTAGCATAAAGCAACATGCTTTTTCCTAATTCCTTTTGTAAAATTAATTTTCCTAGGGTACAAAATGATGGGTTTGAGAGACGTCGTCACACATACTACTTACTGCACTTTGCTCACTCTGGTCCCACCACCATACTTCCTTGAGTCCCCCATCCCTAACTCCTTTACCTGCTAACAAAAACAAGTTTCATTTTTTTTTTTTTTCACTTCTGCACCTCCAGTGTTCTTGTAACCCAGCTGACATGTGACATGGGGCCTCTAAACAGGCAAACTCTGACCTCCAATATAATTTCCAAAACAACAGAGATGGTACATAAAATGCAAAGTAGTCCTTAACATTTATTTTACAATACGATTTAATTTCCTTATCTTTATTATTTTATTTTATGTGTGAGTGTGTTGCCTGCATGTATGTAAGCGTACCCTTGTCATACAATGCCCACGGAGTCAGAAGAGGGAGTCAGATCCTGGAACTGGAGTTATGGGCAGCTGTTAGCCATCATGTAGGTGCTGGGAACTGAACCTGGGTCTGTGCAAGAGTAGCCAGTGCTCTTAACTGCTGAGAGCCCACATCTCTCCAGACCAAATTTCCTTATCTTTTACACTGCAAATAGCATATTTTCTTGTATGAAACAGTACTAAGTTATAAGGTAACGAAATTATGCACTATTGCAGATGGAATTCTGATATCACCTTGAATTTCATAAATTGAAACCTTACCTCCTAATATGATGGAGTCAGGAGGTGAAGTATTTGGGAGGTAATTAAGATCGGATGAAGTCGGGGCTGGAGAGGTGGCTCAGTGGTTAAGAACACTGGTTGTACTTGCAGAAGACCCGGGTTTGAATCCCAGCACCCACATGGCAGCTAACAGCTGTCCATAACTCCAGTTCCAGGGGATCAGACAGCCTCTTCTGACCTCTGCAGGCATTGCACGAAATGGGTGCACTTACCTACATGCAGGCAATACACGCATACACATAAAATGAAAAAAATAAATAAAATAAAAAAAAAAAGATTGGATGATGTCAAGAGGGTGGATTTCTCATGAATGGGATTAGTATTCTTTAAGAGTCCTATCAGGGCTTGCTTCCTGATTCTATTATGTGAGAACACAGTGAGACAAGCTATAAACCAGGATTGAGACATTGTTAGACACTGACTCTGCCAGTGTCTTGATCTTGAATTTTCCCAGCCTCTGAAACCAGGAGAAATAAGTGGTTTTTGTTTATAAAATACTCAATCTCTGGTATTTTGTTATGGCAGCATGAGCTAAGTCAAATAATAAGTTATACTGTTCAAGATCTATACTCCATAAATATGTAGGTATAAGTAATTGTCTGCTACACAGCTCTACAATTTTATGTTGAAGATTGAATAAAAGAAAAAGTACAGAGTTTAGTTACATATAGCTAGTTACATCTGCTCTAAAAAAACGATCAGTGCTAACAAGGCTATATCTACAAATGCAAAATTTCATTCATATAAAATGACATCTGTAATCCTGTATCTGTGGTGGGGTTGCTTTTAGGTTTTATTTGGTTACAGAATGTTAATTCTGATCAACATTAGGCAATGGTTGCAAATACGTTGTTATAAAAAGGCTCCCTATACATAGTCTATACACATGTATGTGTGGGTGCCCGTGCCCATGTACACACAGAGGCCAGAGGGGGACCCCAGCTGTCCTGCTCTATCACTCTCCACCTTATTCCTTGAGACAGGGTCTCTCACTGAACCTGGAGCTAGTCTGGAAGCCAGAAAGCCCCAGGAATCTTCCTGTCTCTGCACCACCCCTCAGTGCTGGGGTTACAGCTGTATGTACAGATATACCAAGCTTTTTACATGGATGCTAGGGATTGAATTTTAGGTTCTCATGCTTGTGTATCAAGCACTCTTAGACAGAGCCATTGTCCCACCCTGAATTTGCTTCCAAATTGTAAGAAGTTATTCAACTAAATTTAGGTGTTAATGAAGAGTGTGACAGATTTTTTAACAAAGACACTTAAAGTTGTACAAGGCCCTTAGTTCAATCCCCAGTACTGGGGTACATTTATAAGTATACTTATCAAAATAATAAATTTGACAAATGGCACCTAAAACGTAAAATAAGCCTAGACCTCCACACTGAAGCATGCCAGCAAATCACTGGTCTATTACTCTTTTAAAAAACAAAAACAAAAAACCAGGTGTGCATAGGCCACTGCAAAGCCCACCTCCACAGAAGGGCTAGGAGCCCTCACTATAGTCTATATTGATGAAACTATATGCACAAAAAGGCAGGGGAAGCTTTACTCTAAGATCTGCCCCAAACCAGTTAACCTAACAGTCCAAGATTTTAAAGAGTAGTCATTATAATGAAAGATTTAGGGACACGTAGTGACCTCTACTACAGTCACAAAAAGTTGGAATTAAAATCAGCCATATATGATATCTAAAACCTTATGGTATTTTGGAAGTACATTTTTAAAGCTATCAATTTGCAATACTGTTCCCATAAATTATAAAAACCTGCTAAATGTGATTAGAAACGTATTTATTATTTTTATTTTATATGTATGAGTGTATTGCCTGCATGTAGGTAAGTGCACCCGTGTTGCGCAATACCCGCAGAGGACAGAAGAGGCTGTTGGATCCTCTGGAACTGGAGTTACTGACAGTTGTTAGCTGCCATGTGGGTGCTGGGATTCGAATCCGGGTCTTCTGCAAGAACAGCCAGTGTTCTTAACTGCTGAGCCATCTCTCCAGTCCCAGATTAAAAACTTTTTAAAAAATTAATTTTATGTGTATAAATGTTTTGCATACATGTATGTGAGTGCACCTATGTCATGCAATGCCCACAGAGGCCAGAAGAGGATTTCGGATCCATTGGAACTGGAGTTAGAGACAGTTGTTAGCTGCCATGTGAATGCTGGAAACAGAACCTGGGTCCTCTAGAAGAGGCAGCCAGCCTCTGATTAAAAACTCTTAACTTTTCTGGTGTGATTAGAAATTAAGCTGTCCTTTTAGCATCCAGTGTAAGACACAGGCCAAAAGAGTAGCATATTTTAAGTTCTTCAGTGGGCACTTATAGGCAGGAGTCACCAATACACAGATATCACCAGGTGACTGCTTTGAAAACTTCACACTGCACATTTAAAATGCTTGATGTGACAGACCGGTTCGGATGTTCTTACACTCAGCTGCATTAAATGAGGATGGAACATTCTCTAATCAAGATTTACTACATTAGTAGCTGAGATTAAAGAGAACACCATTAACTTCGACATAACCAGTCATTCCACACCAAACAATCTTAGGTAATGAACTGACTGATTCTGAGAGTCTAGTTGGATGGTGGCAACCCACCCAGCATTCAATTCAATTAATCAGCTCACATATCACAATATTTTGTGAAGAGCTTTGACCCAGAAATACTTATTTCCCCTAAGCTAGTACCATATTTAATATTCAACAGCATTTACCTAATTATGTCATAGAAATATTAATTAAAATAAAAACAATGAGGCAACCTAAGAGCATTTCCAATAAAAATTCTAATGAATAGCATAGTTAAAATTCTAATAAATAGATCAGATTCCCAATATGCCTAACTCCAATCTTTCTCTTTTTGACTACTGTATTGTTCTGAAATTTTTCTCACCATATAACAAGCTTTCTTTTATTTTTTCAGCACTAATATTCTTATGCTGAAGAGATTCTGAAAGTAATTGAGTGATACAAATAAAAAAACTATAATCAAAACAAAAGTGCACTTCAAATAAAAGTGCATTTTATTTTATAATGGCCATACTTCAAAAAAGTCTGTCCCACTGGTAATTCAGAGATATTTTAGAGACGCATTGGCTATATAAATGATTCCCTGAAGACTATTAGCCAACAATCGCCATTTAGAAAGACTAGCAAACCCACTGGCATCTATATTAAAGCACTATAATTATCTATTATATTACATAGTACTTAATTAATAGTAATTTAAGACTGTAGGCAGAAAAGCACTTTTGCATACATAAAAGCATCTTCCATTTAAACAAATTCACAGTTGCTTTATACACTAACATTCTGATAGACACAAGTATTCATATTGACTTCTAACTCTTGTGAATTCCTAGGTATTAAAATACCAAGAGCCGGGTGTGGTGGCACACGTCTTTAATCCCAGCACTCAGGAGGCAGAGGCAGGCAGATCTCTGTGAGTTCAAGGCCAGCCTGGTCTACATAGTGAGTTCCAGGACAGCTGGGGCTACAGGGAGACCCTGTCTCAAAAAGACCAAAAAAAAAAAAAAAAAAAAAACCCACAAAAAAAACTGTTTCTTTCTAATTCTAATCATTAAGTTAAGTCCCAAGTTCTTG